ACGAAGATGATGAACACTACATACTTATATTTACAAGACATGAAACCATGAATAACATCATGATTCATTAGCAACATCAAAGGCAAGTAGCTAGATATATAACATTGAAAGGTCATAACTAGTACTCAGTTCAACTTTTGTCAATCGGTCATTCAAACATGCTTGCTCCTCGTCTCTCCACTGTAGAGCCTGTAAATTTAACACGTAAACTACGATTAATTAACGTGTACGAGTATAGTGCAACCGCTAAAATAAATTCTGGTCAATTAAATATCTAGATCAACCGCTAAAAAATATTATATAAATAGAAATATCTTGTGCAACTATTAAAATAAATTCCTTGTCAGTTTATATTTAAATTATTCCGGATTTTTTTTTATTTATTTTTTTGATTTTCAAAGATCCTAGATCTATTAGGGTGCACCATTATAACATAAAAATGACACAACACATTAACACGTAATAATAAAATAAAAATAAACCATATTGTTGTCCAAAATTTACATTGTCCAAAATCAATCATCCAATATTATCCAAACAGATCCTTCGTACAATCGTACTATAATTTGTCCAATTTGTATGGTCCAATATACTTGTACATGATATAAAATTTCCTTAATTATTTGTAAATTGTTTATTTAGTGATCTTTAAGGTTTGAGCTTGGCCAAGCGAAATTATTTTAATTATTATTATTAAGCAGATCTGTTTAGATATAATTAGAATTTTTATACACATATGCTTACAATAAGAATATGCATAAATCTTTAGTATTTGAAACGTGTGACATGTAATAATAAACCATGTGTGAAATATATGTAACGTTACCAGTCATAAACAGTAGGAGAGGTTGTATGAGAGGGCTTATCAAAGATCTGATTTCCAATATTCCTAGAGTTGAGGTTGCTCCCTGGGTTAAACACACTCCTCCACACGTTATCCTTACTACGTGCTGAGTTCGGTGTCGTTGGTGTTGTTGGTGTTCCCGGTGCTCCGGGACTAGCCGATGTTGCTGCCGGCATCGACAATGACCTCTGGTATTTCGCCGCCTCCCCTTCTACAATAACACACAAGATAACACTCTACATGTTATATCAACATAATATACACATAGAACATACAACATATATTAATTGTTACGTGCTTGTCTGGTTGACATAAAAATATATCGAATGAGTCAAAATTATGCATACCTTGGTTGGCTAAGTTTTGAACTTGGAGCTTCCTGAGCTTGCCAAGGCCACGGTCAGGGTGCGGCCCGGCTACAACATCATCCCATAGTTTTTCTAGTAACACCATTTTTTCTTGTTGATTAAAAATGGATAAGTGAGTGGCTTGGTTTTATAGACAAAAGAGTGATAAAATATCTAGGATGATATTGCCACGTTTGCAATTTGCTATTTACACACCCATTGGATTTTGACAGATTTTTTTTTTAGTATGGTAATAATAAGATATTGCCATTTGTCACTTCTTAATTGAGCTTTTTTTTTAATCAATAATATCTTCTCTTATCTCTAATGCTCCGTATTTGATGAGCTACATAACACATCATGCTTATAAGATTAGTATTAGGAGGTTTTGTTTGGCAATATAGACATATAGTCATGATCAAGTTCATTCTATCCACCAAAATAAAGTTATTTGTTTAAAATCTCTAGTATAATCAATTAGTTGAAAATAGAATTATATTCTATGATAAAATATTTAATATAATTTAACTATTTAGACGAGTTAAACAGTCTAAACTTGTAATAATTTTTTTTAACGGAATAACTTGTTATAAGACTTATAAAATACCTTAAAAATCGAGTATATTATTTAAATTAAAATACCATCATATTAATCTTACATTACTTTATATAATTCCGTCGGTCCGTCCCATATAAAATTTTAACATTTAGTGAAATAAGTGCAAACTATTACTAAGCCCTTATCCTAACAAGTTGTGACATAAGTAAGATCTGAATTCTAGACTGGCCAAATAGCACAAGGGAGTGAAGTACGGAGTAAAGAGGGAGTGGAAATAGTAAGAATGCTAAGGATAAGGTTGATGAGTGGACCCACATTGAAAATATCCTATGAAAGAGAAATGATTTCCGATCAACTTCCACCTGTCTCCTACTGAGTACAATAATTGTCCTGTTCTGTAGATGCCAATTGTGGGTCCCAAATTGGATGTTGACTTACGAAGACGACATGTGGACCCCCAAAACTTTGATTATGAAATCTAATTTAAGAATAATTAACTAAAGTAAGCTTAATTACAAAACAATTTTTTAAGCTAGACTCGTGGTCAAATTATTTACCAAACTAAGCTTCTAGGGTAAAACGCTGTCTCGGACAGCGTTTTATACCCTGGTTTTTTTTTAAAAAAAAATACAAGCGTTTTATATGTTGATTTTTTTTATTTTTTATTTTTTTAATTTCGTAATTTCTGATTTTAAAATAAAAATAAATAAAAAAATTACACTAAAAACGCTGACTAATTCTTATATTCTGATTTTAAAAAATAAAAAATAAAAATTAAACACATAATTTTAACCTGAAAATGGTATATTATGAAATAGAGGCAAGTCAAGCTGTATGACAGACTAGAGAGAAAACAAGAACAATTATTAATGGTTTCTTATATTTCCATTTACCAATCCCATATTAACTAGGAATTGAAATATTGGCGAAATAGAGTATTCCTTATTATAATCTCCCTATTGTCTTCTTCAAATTATATTAGTAATTTTTTTAATCATTTGAAATTTGGAAACAAATTAAATGGGTTGCGGTGAATCAAAGCATGCAATTGCAACGACAGAGTCATTTTTGTTGAATATAAAAAATAAAACTAGAGATAAAAAGATAAAAGAGCAAAATTACTAAACGTTGATATTATTTTCTTGATAAAAATGAAATACATTTGTTCCTTTAAATAAACTAATGATAAAACAAACAAAGCTAAATATTAGGAAACCACTACTAACCTAACTACCCTCTAAATAGTAGCAATGAACGTAAACAAACAAGACTTAGACTAAGTAAAACTCCCTACATTACTTGATTAAGCATAAAACTAATAATCCATGTATAACAATAATGCCATAAACAAAGGAACTATTAATACTAAGTGGGTAAACATGCCCCATGATTTACTCCACTAACCTACTGATTTTATTAGTAATGTTCCTAAACTATAGGAACTAACTTTGAATCAATATCCAACAATTTTCAATGACTCGTAAGTAGCTAAATTGCAATAGTAGAATGTGTTTAATTTTTATTTTTTTTATTAATCAGAAATTAAGAATTAAGAAAAAGAAAAAAATTGACACTAAAAACGCTGATTGAGTCAGTGTTTTTAGTTTTTTTTTTTATATTTTAAAAATCATAAATTACAAAATTTAAAAAAAACAAGTCAACATGTAAAACGCTGTCCCACACAGCGTTTTGTACATTGTATTTTTTTAAAAAAAAATACAGGGTATAAAACGCTGTCCGAGACAACATTTTACCCTGGAAGCTTAGTTTGGTAAATAGTTTGGCCACGAGTCTAGCTTAAAAAATTGTTTTGTAATTAAGCTTACTTTGGTTAATTGTCCCTAATCTAATCCCTATAAGGCCTTGTTTACTTCAACTTATTTTTACTTATTTCAGAAAAAATAAGTTTAGATCAGAAAAAATAAGTTCAGATCAAATCAGATAAAAAAAATACGTAGTAAGTTCAGATCAGATTATCGTTTTATGTGCAGTCTTTCATCGCTAAATACCTTTAATTTCGTAATTAATAAAATTATATAAATTACATATTAATAAAATACACATTATTACGAATCTAACAAGATCCTACTTGATATATTTTTTCCTTATACATTATCGTACATTTAAGATCAAAGTTTGGTTAAATCAGACAATCAGATCAGATCAGATAAGTTCAGATCAAACCAGATCAGAGTTCAGATAAGCAAAAAATAAGGTGAATTAAACAAGCCCTAAGTCTTAGCTGCACTCTAGTGTAGCTTGAATAGCTGCACCACTGCTTAATGAACATGTAATAAAAAAAATATAAACACGTAAAAAAATATGAACATTAGTCAAAAAAAATAAACACATAAAAAAAAAGAGTTTTTCTAAGCTATGCCCCTAAACTTCTTCGGTTTCTAAGCTATGCCATACTTTTTCAAACGTCTAAGCTGTGCCCTCCACCTTACTTTTTTTAATAAACTATAACCTATTACGTTAAAACTCCGTTAGTAGTTGCGGAACTGTTAAATACCTCTCTTTGGAGGGAAGATTTTCCGCCATAATTGTTAGGGTTTTACTTGGATTATAAAAGGGGGCTTGTATAACACATTTCCCCTGTTTCTTCTTATCTCCCAAAAATTTAGCCCCAAAAAATTTAGCCATTAAGATGACGAGCTCCCATTCTTCTCCGGCGATTTCTAGTTGTCAATGGGATTTTATTAGTCCTAAGTGCAATTGCAAGCCTCCTTTAGATTGCAAGTTACATGTTTCCACTTCAACAAGGAACACTAGAAAGGCATATTGGAGGTGTGATTTTTGCAGATTTTTCGAATGGGTAGGCCCTCATAACATGCCGTGGAGAGGAGAATATCAACAACCTTTTTACGATGGTTTTGATGGTGGTGAAAGCATTGACAATGGTGCGTTGATGGAGGTGAAGCGTGAATTGGGGGCTTTAAGGCAGAAAGTTAATAATGTTACTGCTTCTTTTAAGGACATGTTTAAAATTGGGGTGGTTATGTTTTTGTTGTTAATTATCATATTGAAAATGTAAGTGGTGTTTAAGTAGTGTATGGTTTGAGAATCATAGTAAGCTTGGTTTGTGTATGATCTCATGACGTAATGTACTGTCCTTTTTTATTATTATTTATTTATTAATAATAGTTTATTAGATTCCTGTTTATATTGAGTCTTGTATTGAATTTGGTAATATAACATTTCAAATAAAAAATAGTGACACTCTGCAATTTAAATAATATTCCATAATGTCAACCAAAAGTACCATATAATCACAATTTGCCCAAAAAATTACATCACTTAGTAGCAATAACACAAAAGTTGGCTTAAAAAGTATTGTTTGCCACAAAAACTAGGCCACTTACATACCTGACATAACACTAATAGCATAAAGTTCTAGTGTTTATGCCTAAAAAAATAGTGATTACAGTTTGCCCCAATAATTACAAAAGGATAAGTGTCACCCATTTCAGAGTAGTATCTTGGCTTTCTTAAGGGATCTGATTACTTAAGGCTGACTCATCGATGGATGCCTGAGTTTTGCACTTTGGTTTGATGTTTGAACTTGGGGCTATGAAGATGCAATCATGGTATCAATGAAGCTATGATCAAATGCATCACTGTTGCTGGACTGATCTTGGTGTGACTTTCCTTTCCCTTTTGATGTTCCACTGTGGTGAGTACGGTTGTTTGTTCTATCAGCACCTTCACTAGTGTAATTTCCACTGTAATTTCCACTGATCATCAATTCAATCAGGGAGAAGTCAGCATCATTATTTTCAGGTGGTCTCTGTACTTTCTTTCCTTTATTGCCTCCCTTTTGTGGCACAATCTTCCCTTGTTGCTCGGCTACTTCTCCGGCAGTTGGACCACCTTTTCATGCTGCCATATTGTGCCCATAATTCTTGCAGTTACTACACTGGACGGTTGCGCTTTTTTTTTCCTTTTCTCTGCTCCCCTTCCTCTCTCCTCCTATTTCTTGCTAGTCTGCCAATACTTCATTTCATTGTTGGTGGTATGAGGGTTAGAACACCATCAATGTGTGGCCATTGCTCTTGATCAGGTACAGGGGATATGTTTCCACTATTGGCTTGTTTGTACTTAGCCACAGTGAACCATTCACTCACATAATCTGTTGGATCCTTGCCTTCATGTAAGATAGCTTTGATTCCATGCTTACATGGAATTCCGCTCAATTGCCATCTCCCACATGCACATGTTCCACCAGTTAAAGACACTAGTAACCTTGCTCGTCCATCATGAATCTCATAAGTACCCCTACCAGAAGGGTATGCTTGACAAACTCTGCTTTCCTTAGTTAGTACCCTGATCCTGTTATTAATGTTTAGATAGATTCCGTCTTGCCACTGGTTTGCTAAGTGTTGTCTAGTAGCATGTCTAACCATTGTATTCTCCTAACACCTACAGATATTACATAGAAAATAAAAGGTAATTATTGGCTTGCATTTTCTAATGTACAACAACAACAAAAATAACTACATACTTGCCTTCTAGTAGAGTCAGAATTGAAGCTTTCCACAAATTATTTGTGATTTCATCACTTTTCAAAGTGGGGTCAAACTTCCACCTTGTCCATCGCTCTAGTGGGCCTACATCTTTAAACCATTTCACCGCCCCTAAACCACCATGTTTTTGAAGCTGAACCATTTCCTTCCTAAACGAGTAGTCTGAGTACGCATTTGTAACACTCCAAAATAGTTTATGCATGAGTAATCCGGGGTAGTCTTTCTTGAAGTTTTTACATAAGTGCCTAGCACAATACCTTCTAGGTACCTTTGGCCAAACTGAGTCCAAAGATGGGTCTACACCCTGTATAACATAATTTAAAACAAAGAAAGTAAAACAAACATTGCAAATATTAGCAAAAAAAAAAACAAAGTAAAACAATATAAGTAATTAAATAGCATAGAGTTGTAACCTTTTGTCGATCAGACATTATAGTCCAGTCTTCTCTCCCTGTAGCAGTGAGTATTTGCTTTAGATGGTGAAAGAACCAACTCCAGCTTGTCTTATTTTCATAATCAACAACTGCTACAGCAACTGGAAAATCTCATTGTTACCGTCCAAGGAAACGACAGACAATAAGATACCCCCATAGTTTCCCTTCAAGTGACATCCGTCTACTCCAACTAACCCTCTACATCCGCTTATCAACCCCTTGAACTGTGCAACAAAGCTGATAAAAATTGATGAAAATTGTAGAGATCTTTCAGGACCAGAAACATTAGTCCAACAGCAAAAAGCCATTGACCCAGGGTTGCTCCCCTTTAATAGTTCACAATACTGAGGCAAATTAGTGTAAGATTCATCATGCCTCCCTTGTATGATCTTCATTGCTATTCCCTTGTAGATGTGCACATTTTCAAACCATATCTTTCCCAAAGTAGAGCATTTAAGGCCTTTCCCTTAATGTCCGTGTTAGCTCTTATGTCCTTAAAAAGCTTATTAGCAGCCCATGCACAGTTACACATGGGGTTGTTTACTAAGTTAAGGTTACAAGTATGACCTTTTCTCAACTTCTTGGTGGCCCATGTGTGTCCATCACATAGCAAAGCTGCATGAACCCTCCAGTTGCACCTTTGATCAGCACACTCTGTATTATATCTTAGGTTGTCTCTTGTTCACAACCAGAGCAAATCCCTCTTGGATACAAAAATCTCTTAAAGCATCCTTGAAATGTTCTTTGTCTACAAAAAACTGCCACTGTTTTAACCTGATTTTACCAAACTCTGCCTCCTCAAATACCTCCCCATTCCTATACAACCTACTCGTGTAAGAATCATCATCAACAACCCATTCATTTGTCCTAAATGGTTCCCATACACCATCTACATAATTTTGATTCAAGAGTTCATTGATATCACCCTCTTCATACTCCATTTCATCATCATCAGATTCAGTTTCTACATCAGAACCTTGGTCAGGTTGGTAATCACCTTTACTATCTGTACCACTACTATCAGATAAAGCCCCACTCACATTTGACACCCCAACATCATTATCTAGCCTAACCCTAGTCCTCTTTCTGGTCCTAACTGATGGTTGCTCCTCCTGAACTTCATTGGCTTCAGTGTTTGGTTGAGGTGGAACCCATAACCCCTTGAATTTAAGGGTAGATTTTGAGATTTTTTTACCATGAGGGATTGAAGAAGGCTTAAGAATATTGTTTGGTTTAGTAGGGGCAGCATGGCCAACACTAAGACCTGTTTGGGTGACACCTGAAGTTGGAGGGTTGATTAAGGATTGTTGTGTGGTTAGAGGGCTAGAAGCCATAAGCCTGGGCTTCTTCTTGAGCTTGACAAAGTAAGGGTTTGACTTTGTTCAAGGAGATTGAATTTTAGATAGTCCATGAGATGAAGGGGTTGGATATAGATTACCAAAATTTTGTTCTTCAGGCTTACCCCTCTTACCCCCCCTCTAACTGGCAGTTTAGTTATTGGTGGTTTAGGTAGTGCTGCTGAACCACTTACATTTGATCCATTCAACCTTACCTTTTCAACTAAGGTCCAAATAAAATTAGGTTGCTTCAAACAACCAATCCATATATATATCCTTCTAGATTCAACTACCTCAAACATGGTCATTAGTGTTTTATCATCAGTAAGTTCATGACTCTTCCCATTGGAACAATAACTTAAAACAGGAAAAGTAGGGAGTTCATACCCAAAAGAACTAAATTTGTTAACCATATCATTCACTACATCTATCAGCAAACATTCATCTATATCAGCAACCATAACATCAACTGAGTTACCCATAAAATGCATTTTCAACACCCTTTCACCCATTCTACAGATCAAAAACATGGGGCACAAAACCAATGTATAATCATTAACCAACATATCCAAATACACAATTGACCCAAACCTTATTTTACTTAATCAACATTTACCAACTGTATTTACAAAAAAAACAAAACCCTAGAATCAATAGCTACATCAACAATCAACATTTCGCCCAAATATATGTAAAACAACAATGAATTGCTCTAAATTTCAGAATTTAATGTGAAATTACCTGTCTTAGAAGCCGAAATTTTCGATCTTAGGTGAAATTCGCGCAGCCACCACGACTCCACCTCGCAACCAAAACGCAACCCACAACATGAGTTCCACGAAATTCAACCACGAACGCTCATCAATGAGAATCGCTCATCAAATTCTTGGTTTGATTCCAATCGCAAATTTCTGGGCACTACTTTTTAAGGGTTTTGATTTTCATTTGAGTGTTGATGAAACAGAGTAGAAGAGGAGTTTGATCAGTGTAAGGGAATTGGAAGGACTTTACTTATTTTAATCGTTGTTTTTTATTTTTTTTATTTTAAGGAATTCAATTTTTTTTATTTCTATTTTAATTAGCAACGACAACTAACTGACCTTAACGTCCGTTACTTACTGCTAATGACATAGGTTATTTTTAATTAAAAATAGTGAGGTGGAGGGCATAGCTTAGACGTTTAAAAAACCGTGGGCACAGCTTAGAAACCGAAAAAGTTTAGGGGTATAGCTTAGAAAAACCCAAAAAAAAAAAACATTTAGTACTTAAAAAGTAAACATGTTAAAAAAATGATCATTTAGTATTAAAAATAAACATGATAATCATAAAATTGCTAGGCCATCCACGACCTTAAAAATGAACATTTGGTGTAAAAATAATTATGAACATGTAATATATATATATATATATATATATATATATATATATATATATATATATATATATATATATATATATTAATAAAAAATGTACATGTCAAAAATAATTATGAACATTAGAATATTAAAAATGAACATTTATCATACAATAATAGAATAGTTGGACCACACCTAATAAAATGAACATTTCATAAAAATATATGAACATATTAAAGAAAATGAACATTTAGTATATAACAAATGAACACATGAAAAAAATTATGAACATTTAGTACTCCCTCCGTGTTTTAATAAGTGTTACACTTACTAAATTCGGCCGTATTTTAATAAGTGTTACAGTTTTCAATAAACTATTAACCCCACTATCTTTCTTTTATAATTTTTTAATACTCCAACTATCCCACTTACCTCTTATTTTATTTAAGTCAATTAAATTGCCTAAAACTATGTGCCGGTCAAACTATAACACTTATTAAATCACGGGGGGAGTATATTAAAAATGAACATGATTTTCTCATATTCATATAAATTCAAATTCATTGTATATAATTATTAACGGAAAATAAAGATAAAATAAATCATTAAAACGTGTTCAGTTTTTATGTACTAAATGTTCAATTTTAAAGTACACCGTGTTCATTTTTTTTTGTTCTAAAAATTATACACAAATATTAGCAACTCAATTTAAAAAAAATCGAAATTCATAATAACAGACAAATTAAAGATGTAGCAATTCAATTCATCACAAAAACTCATTAATTAAATTAATTCATAAAAAATTCAAAAATTCAGTTGAAATAGTCTAATTCACTAGATTAATCAAAAATTCAATTGAAATTCATCATATTGAAATTCACAAAATTATAAATCAGAAAAATCAATTACAAATTCAGCCTAAATCTAACCTAATTAAAACTAATTAAAAATCAACAACACAAAAACTAACCTGCATTGATGATCTCTTATATATATATATATATATATATATATATATATATATATATATATATATATATATATATATATATTAACAACCAAATTCATAATAATGTAGAAAATAAAGGAAAAGGAAAATGGTGACGATCGCGACGAATATGATGATGGATGCTACAATGGTGACAAATTGGAGAATATCCAAAGTAGGAGGATAAAAAAGTTTAAAGATTGAAGGATAATGAGGTAAGAAAGAAATTTACTTATGAGGAAAGGGTGAAAAAAAAAGGAGAGAGAAAATTTGAATGGAGAAGAAAACAAAAAGAGAAAATTAATGGAGGTAAGGAAGAAGAAGAGAGAGAGGGGGGGGGGTAAATATAAGGAAGGGAGAAAAAATGTATGTTCGTTTTTAAAGTACTATATGATCATATATATGGTTGTTGCATCTAGGTTAGCTGCACAAGTGTGTAGCTAAGAATTTGAGATCTAATCCCATGTGGCCATGTATTAAACTTAATCAACAGTTTATGGTCCCTTCTAAAATGTGGCATTTGGTCACGTGAGTAGAAATAAATCTCAAATAGTTGGGTCTTGGCTAGGGGTGTTCGCGGTGCGGTTTGGATCCTAAACCGCACCAAACCGCCAAATTGCGGTTTGTATTTTTTTCAAACCGCACTTCTAACCATACCACACCGCAAAATGCGGTTTGGTGCGGTGCGGTTTAACCATATTTTTTAAAAATCTAAATTTTTTTAGAAACTACACCAAACCGCAAACCACAGTTTGCTCATATTCAAAAACCACACCGCAATTTTCAAACCGCAAACCGCATCAAATCGTATTGCGATTTGGTACAGTCTAAACCACACTCTGAACAGCCCTAATCTTGGCTCTTGGGTTTGAAAAATTTTGGCTGTTCTTTAAGAATGGTAGCTTTTTGTAAGAAAAATTGAGCAAATTCGTAGTTAGATTGTAGAAATGACATTAGTTATTATTTTTATGAGTTTTCTTTCTGAAAGTTTGATAAATCATTCACCCGCAACCTCAAATAAATTGATTAAATAGTGATTTTGCACGGATTGATGGACAACAATACAAGTCTATAATTATATAGAAACACATGGGTTTAAATTGTGTCATTGACTTTTGACATCGAGCATAATTTATCTAACATTATCTACGCTGATTAATTAAATTCAAGCCTAGCTGATCTAATATCATCTAAATTCAAATTAATTTAGGTGAGGCATAAGAGTTAACCAAATACACAAACATTTTAGAAAAGTAAACATGTAAAAATACATTGAATTGGTACATCGTTTGAATACAAATTTCTTAATCAAAAGTAAATACATACAGTAAAGAACATTATAGCTATTGATTGAAAAGAACGATGAAATTCAATATAGTGATGTGGACAGTGGACATAAATTAAATATAACTCATTGAAAGATGCCATATAAGTATATAACGTGATTGATAAGAAGATAACAACTTTAATAGTATGGTGTCTGGTAAACATTAAGCATTATAGGAACTTTTTAATTAGTAATTAATTTATTAATTTGTGAAAATCAGCATATTTATTCAGTGATGAAGTGACAAAGATAAGATGTTGAATGTTTGAATATTCTGCAAGCTTAAACAAATCAACTTCCAAAGTTGGTGGTATGTCTTTGTCTCAGCATCTTATTTTTCTTTCTTAAATACATCATTGCAAATCAAGTACTAGTCATGTGACCAATTGTTTTGTCTTCAGAATTGTAAAGCCACATTGTTGCAGAAATTCTAGTAGTATTTTGTAAGAGAAGTCTTTGGAATGTCCCTCAAGGTACTTATAGTTCGCGCAACATGTCTATTAGACACCTAACCTAAACTCATATTTAAATGTCTCGTACAACTTTCTAGAAAAAAAAAAAAAAAAAATTCAATAAATTGGCCTATTTTTAGAACATAGATTTGGGTGTGGTGTGTACGAAATTCTAGATACAGCCAAGTACATACATAAGAAAATTTCTCTCTCAAAAGTCTGAAAGATAACTCTTGTCATCCATCTGCCCAAGAGCTATTTAGTTGAGGCATTCAAAATGATCAGGAGGGGAAAGAGTTAGGTCCTTTATCTTAAAGCTGTTTGGTTTGGCCTTCCATGTTCGCCACTCAACAGAACACCAGCTCCGATCATCATGACCATGAGACGGAGTTCCTGATTAGCAAATTGCAGCTTCTAGCAACATTATGATTCAACCTGCTGGCTATGTTTTCAAGCACTTTCTCCAAACATAATTTCAGAACTGCTTTGGTCCATCTACTTTCAGCTTTCAACATAATACTGCAGGATTCTTGTGATGGCTAAACAACTGCAGTCTAAAGGGTTGTTTACTTAGAACCTCTTTCACACTTAAAATTTGACAGGAACAAAATCAAGCCATAAGCCATAAACATTGGAAAGAATAAGAGCTGCCGTACTTTTCTGCCAAAATATTTATCCTGCACGGACAAGACACTGAGGTGGTAACGTAACTTCATCATTATCTTATCCATTAACAGCTGCCGCAGCATTGCCCATGAGCATGGTTATAATGAACAAATTCAGAACACATGGGACATTGAATAATCTGGGAGAGATGAAGTACAAGGGCTACATAGCTACCTGTCAAATATCATTACACAGTATCCTTGATACTGTGAACCTCCATCAGAGGCATGATGAGAATTATGTTTTCTCCTCCGAGTAAGCTAACGCTTGATATTAACTTACCATAAACGGCATAAAGTGGTAAAGGTAGACTTGCCTTAAGATATCTCACTTTTATAACCATAGTAAGAGACTTGGACAATTTTTATCACGATCCAGATTAGTAGCTAGCACTTGAACTAGAGAAATTACATCACATGTAGGGCTGTGCACCAGTCCAAAACCGGACTGAGACCGGGACCGGAATCTTAGAATTTAAGGGGCCGAGGACCGGACCGGTTGTAACCGGTCCGGAATCTGGTCTGGACCTGAATTTCCCGGTCCGGGTTTTGACCAATTGGACCGATTAAACCTGTTCTCTGTATTTTTGCTGAAATTTTTACCGAATACGAATTCATTGTTGTTATTTTAGACCGCTTGAATATTATAATGAGAAAAATAAATAAATTATAATTGAACTAAATGGCATAAACCCAAAAAACAGAACTAAATAAATAGAAAGAAGCATTACAAATTCAGCTCTTATTAATGCAATAGACTTGAAAAATCAGCGTCTTTCTTCACATGAAAATGAAATCATGGAAACAACTTTAATAGAAGAGCAGAAGTGTAATATAAGATATAACTAAACAACAAAAACAAAGTCATCCAAATATTTAGAGAATAACAAAGCTAACCAATTCAGATTTTTAGTTTTAATCAATATCACGAATCGACGAAGCCACTTTTCTGATGATAAAGCCCATACCAATTTCCATTATGTTTTTCAAGATTTAATTTGCGAATTTTGCAAATCAACTGTACTAATTAATTAACCCACATCCAAAATCGCATAAAGAAATAAAAATGAAAAAAAAAATGAAGAAAAAACAAAAAGGATGGAAAGAGCTGCGGCGGAGGTGGCGAGGTAGCAATTTGGCGACCAACAATTGAGAATTTGATAGTGTAGAAGAGGAAGTGGAAGAGAGGCGGATTATTGAAGTGAAAGTTTTAAAGTTTTAGCTGACAGTCCCTTAAGTGACTTTACATCAGGAAAAAAATATAAAAAAAGCACATAAATCCGGGTTCCCTGTCCAATTTTACCTGGACCGGAAACTCGAAATCCCTATTTCTCAAGGACCGGGGACCGGACCGGAATCCAACGGTCCGGGTTGATTCGGTCCAATTCCGGTCCGGTCCCAGTCGGTTTTCCGGTCCAGGTCCAGTTTTGCACACCCCTGATCACATGCCTACTTAACTTCTGTAGTTCTCATCTAGTCAGCCAAAGGTATACAGTAT